AATTCAACCGGGAAGGTAGTCAAATAATTTTCCGAAATGTACGGCGTTGTTTAACTTCACAGTTATCTTCAAAAACTCATTTGACTACCTTCCCGGTTGAGTTTTTAGCTGAAATTTGGTATGGGTAAACTAGACTTAATGAGGAAGATGCTCAAAAAATTTTATCAAAAAATTCCATCGGGAACCGCCCCAAATGGCGTCGGCCAGACAGAGCATCCGAAATATGACCTTATTTAACATTTTTTTTCGAGTTCGAGACCCTATCTGACCCTTATCCCAAGAGTAAATTATATGCTCAAATTGCGGGGCTAAAAACTAAAAAGTCAATAAGATTTAGTATAGGAAAGACATCTGTCAGAATGAGAAAACAGGGGGGAGTGTAACGGGCTAAGTGTAACGGGTTCTATATAATATTATGCCCGATAATAAAGTGGTATCATATCAAATAATATTATGACTGATAATAAAGTGGTATCATATCATATCATAAATCATATCATAGATTTATGTCTTCTTATGCGATGACAATAAATAAGAACCAAAGTCAATCTTTAACCCATCTTAGACTCTTATTAAAGAAATCTGCCTTTATGCATGGTCAATTGTAGTGGCAGTATCTAGAGTGACAAATCGTAAGGATTTGAAGATATTGATTTACAGTGAAGATGGAGAAAACACTGACCGTACTACAAATGTTATTTATAAAGTAGTCTTTGGAAATGTTTAGTCTTGGCAGATCTCATTGTATGCTTCGAATGTTATTTACAAACAAGTGTTTCAAAATTTATTATATGCTTCAATTTTTCCTCCTTATCCTAACATATAAATTGTACCAATTATTACTGATAACTATATTTTTTCTATAATTATTGTACATTATTCATATATATTACATGTGTATAAAAATATCATCTACCCATTCATTAATAAAGTTAACAAATAAGATTATTTAACTCTTCGATAATATGGTTCGTGCATCGCAAGGGTGAAAATCTAGTCTGTCATAAAGACCGTGATGTTCACCAAGTGAGCTACACGGGCCTACACCAACCTTTTGAAGCGTGATATTTGCTGCTTGTAATTGTGGTGGTGTGTAATTTTTGTGTTCACCTTATGTCTTGGTTCAGACAGTAAACATTTTAGGACCAAAAAATTGAGATTTCAGCTCTTTCGAAATAATTGGAAGAATCCAAACATCAGTAGTGAAAAACGAGAGTATGGTCAAATTGGAAAGCAAAGTTATACATTCTCAAATTAGTCATTAAGGTTTTAAATAAATCAAATAAACATGCATTTAATGTTTTCTACTTTCTAGTCATTCTTTAACACTCGCAGAAGGTTTTCCATATTCCATTCATCAAAAGAGTTATTTACTTTTCCTTTGTTTTTGGTACCTAAAAATATCTTAATTGATATCAATAGTATTGTTTTTCCTTCTTCTTTTGGCACCTAAGAAACTCTTACTCTCAAATTAGTCATTAAGGTTTTAAATAGATTAAATCTATGACAAACTTGCATCGCCAATGTTGGTTAATACTTTTCGACTCTTATTCTAATTTGAGTTTGTAAGGAACAATAAACTGATTTTCCAAATTTCAATTATTATTCTTGCTATATCCTCAATTTTCATCAAATCCAGTACCATCCTATATCCGGAAATAACTGCAAAACTGAGTTAGGCACACATTATGAAACATTCCTCCAACTTGCGTTTTCCCAATTCTATCTTCGGTTACATATGTTTCGTAAAAGAAATTGCTTTAATTAGGATTAAGACATGAACAAAATCGTTGCAATTATTTAAGAATGGAGAAAGTACAAATATATTTTTAGAGAGGAAGTGCAACATTGATATTTCAATTGATCCCATATTTTCATGAAATGTCCCGTATTTTTATGTGATGTGACTAAGTGATATTGTTAGCCGTCATGCCCATACCACAACACTCTTCTCTTTTATTTTGACTTGGGACGGACATAAAATCTCATTGCAAAGTTATTTTAGGTAGGAGGTATAAAACATGTTTTAGGGAAACATTGTCTATGTAGCTTCTTTTAAAGGGACGGAGTGCAGCGTTATATTTGGATATTAAAGGTTGACATCGAGGATGCAATACATCGTTGACAAATGATTTGAATGAGCTCACTGAGCATCTTGACATGTTTAGTTATGATATTAGTGGACATAAATGGATCTACAGACAATGAAGACATTGAAACTACACAAAAGAGTCATGTTTCTGTCCAAGGAAACTGGTGATCAAGAGATTCAGGATACAGGAGAGTCCCCGAAGAGGCTGCAACAAAGACCTGATCAATGAGAATATGGGGAAGCATCCTCTGCCTGAGGGATAAGCTGTGTTATTCTTGTGCAATAAGCTTCGTATGGAGATCCAGGAAAATAGGGGATGGAAGTGACCAGGTGCTCATATTCCAAACCAAGCCCAATAATGGCGTAATGAAGATGTGGAAACTGGAGAGTTATTAGCTGCAAGGGTATCTGTATCACCGGAGATGGTGATTCATGCTCTGATAGATTGATACTATTCCCAACACGATATAAAAGTCGTTTCATCTCCATAGACCGAGCAAGATTAGCATACATGAATCACATCTTCAAATGTTCCCAAATTAAGGCTGAATAAATTCAACCAAAATCTCTCAAAATTGCGTGAAAACATCCATGAACGAACAGTATGATCAATTTCCAGCCAATGAAAACAGACTGGATTGAGTGAGGCATTCACAATGTATTGAATCAGATACATACATGGCCAGTGCAGTAACAGTTTCATCCATGGTTTATTCAGAATATCAAATAGGTAGTAACAAAATCTAACACTACAAACGCCAAGTGACAGATATCATCAAGAGTTCAATTTTTTATGTTCTAAATACTTTCCAGCCAGAGAATCAAAGAGCAGACCAGCACCAACACCGACAGCCAAATCAATGGTGTAGTGACCCCTGGTGGTGAGCAGCCTAAGTGCTTGCAAAGCATTGAGCACATCAAAGACCAGTGCCAACCTCATCCTCTGCATCCTCCTCGTGTCAAGAGAAGCAATCACAGCAGCCGCCTCATGCCCTGAGTAGAACAGGAAAAAAGACGCATTCCCTACTGGGAAATCAGCTCCTGATCCCAAGAAATCCTGAGGCAAAGGTAACTGGGGGGGTCACTAGGGGGTTCTCAGATGTGGTGGCCGGAATTGGTCACTGGTGGCAGTGCAGGCAGCACTGACTGGTCAATGGCGGGGGTGTGAAGGACAGTGACACGAGATTGGTCACTGGTGAGGGCGGGGACTGGTCACTAGTGGTGGCGGAGAACTGGTCACTAGCGGTGGTTGAGGACTAGTCACTAGTGGTGGCAGCGTACAGGTCACTGGCGGCAGCGGGGATTGGTCACTGGCGCCGGCAGGATAGGTCACTGGCGGCAGCGAGGTAGTCATTAGCGGTGAGGTCACTGGCGGCGACACAGACTGGTCACTAGCGTATTAGGTCACTATCAGATGAAGTCACATGAGGTTAAGGGTAAATTTGTAAGTGTAAGACTAATTAGTCACATTTTTTGAAATTTTTTAAAAAGATCACTTTTTAGTCTATGGCTAATATTTTAGTACGGAGTAATATTTACGACATAACCCAATAGAATTTGCAAATAAACTCTGTTTTCATTCTTGTCAAGTACGTACAATATATAAACATTAAAAATCAAAATAAAGAAACAACTTATATGTTCAACCACTCAACTTCATGATGAAAAAGCAATTGTTCGAGATTAGGGATTTTGACTTTATTATGAATTCCACCACCACTCATAACACCAAAATCAGAATTGAAGTCAAAGCTATGAAAAACTTGCAACGCTAATGTTGGTTACTACTTTTTTGACTGTTACTCTAATTTGAGTTTGTAAGGAGCAATAAGCTGATTTTCAAATTTCAACTATTATTCTGACTATATCCTCAAACTTTCATTTTCAACTATTATTCTGACTATATCCTCAAACTTTCATCAAAATGAATAGTATCCTATATTGGGAAATAACTGCAACATTGAGTTAGGCACACATAGTATGAAACACTCCTCCAACTTTTGCTTTCCAATTCTATCCCAGGTTACACATGTTACGGTAAACGGAATTCCCTAAACAGGACGAAATTGCTTAAATAGGAGTCAGACATGGACAAAGTCTTACTTAATGCAATTATGTAAGAATGTAGGAGGCTTACAACATTTTTAGGGAGGAATTATAAAACATTTTTTTATGGAAACAATGTATATGTTGCTTCCTTTAAAGGGATAGAGTGTGGCATCATTTTTGGATATTAAAGGTTGAGACAAGGATGCAAGACATTGTTGGGAAATGAGTTGAATGAATTCAGTGAGCATCTAGACATGTTTAGTTATGATATTAGTGGAGACAAATGTATCTACAGACAACTAGGACATTGAAATTACACAGAAGACTCATGTTTCTGTCTAAGGAAACTGGTGGTCAGGATACAGGAGAGTTCCCGAAGAGGCTGCAACAAAGACCTGATAGATGAGAATATGCAGAAGCATCCTCTGCCCAGGGAAATAAGACATGTTATTCTTGTGCAATAAGCTTCATACGGAGAGATCATCAGAAGGGATCCAGGAAAATACGAGACAGAAGTAACCAGGGCTCATATTCCAAATCGAGCCCAAGAATGGTGTACCGAAGAAGATCATGGAAACTGGAGAGTTATTAGCTGCAAGTGAATCTGTCATGACCTTCACATCGAGGGATAGTAATCCATACTCTAAGATTCTGTATTCTGAAGTCTGAACATGCGATAAAAGTCATTTCAACTCCATACAGCTAGCAAGATTGGCAGACATAAAACGCATCTTCAGACATTCCCAAATTAAGGTTGTATAGATTCAACCAAAATCCCATGAAACTGAGTAGAAAAATCCATAAAAACGGAACAGTCTGATCAATTTTCAACCACTGAGAATAGACATTCGCAATGCAGTGTGAATTCAGATACATACAAGGCCAGTAAAGGATTAATTTCGGCTATGGTTTATTCAGAATATCAAATAGGGAGTAACAAAATTTAACACTACAAATGCCAAGTGACAGATATCATCAAGAGTTCAATTTTTTATGTTAAAATACTTTCCGGCCAGAGAATCGAAGAGCAGACCGGCACCAACACCTACAGCCAAATCAATGGTGTAGTGACCCCTGGTGGTGAGCAGCCTAAGTGCTTGCAAAGCATTGAGCACATCAAAGACCAGTGCCAATCTCATCCTCTGCATCCTCCTCATGTCAAGAGAAGCAATCACAGCAGCCGCCACATGCCCTGAGTAGAACAGGAAAAAAGACACATTCCCTACTGGGAAATCAGCTCCTGATCCCAAGAAATCCTTAGGCAAAGGTAACTGAGTAGCATAGCCCAGAATTCCTCTGGTGGTGAACATGAACAAAGCCGAAATAGTGGCTCTTGGGCGCCCTTCAATTACCCACGCCCAAATGATATAAGCCGTTTGCATCCCCACAAATGCCGTATTCAGGGCCGCAAGGAGCGTATTGACCGCCGGCGATGAAGCAAGCGTGCGGTGCAAGTGGATGGTGGCGGCGAACCCGAGATCGAACGGCGGAGAATTGTGCGGGATCATACGCAGGGTGTACTCCACCCCCATGAATGACAGGACCGCGAAGAAGAAGGCGCACAGTACGGTGTGCTCCCTCGCCACATTCAACGCGTCCCCGGCCGTCCACGTCGTGAAATGGGCGTTTCTCAGAGACCACCCGCCGCCGTCCTTATTGCCCACTCCCGGCGTCGATTTCTTCTTCATTGACCCAACGGAAACGTCGCTGGAGGTTGTGCCTCTCGACTTGTCACCGACGGCGGAAGATCTCCTGTTCTTGTTTCCGTTCATATTTCGCCGGTCATTGCGGATGCCTGATTGTTGGTTTTATAAGAGATTCAGACGATGGCGGAGCCTCCGATGTGTAGTTTCCTGAAATTAAATCCGCCTGTCTAGGGATTTCAATTTACCGACCTCCCATGATTCCAGTGATAACTCATTATAGGACTTTCTGACTTTTCAATTCTCAATTTTCTCAAGCGAGAAATCATTACAAGCATTTTTTATGGTTCAATTCTCACTCGATTTTTAAGGAGTGCTTGCTACTGTTTCCAAAAGACTTTTTGGAAAAAGTGATTGAGAATGTTGAGAAAAAAGTGATTTTAAAAAGTGAAAGTTGATAGTGTTTGGTAAAATAAGTGCTTTTGTGTAATAGAAAAAGTAAAAACACTTTTGACATGAAAGTCGAGAAAAATAAAAGTTGGTAGTGTTTGGTAAAATAAGTGTTTTTTAAGCCAAAAACTGATAAGAACTTTTTTTAAAGCAATTGCAAATCAACTCTTAAACTCACATTTCTCACTTTGATTTTTGTATTTTTAGTGTCTTTTATCATCTTACTAGGGAGTAGACTTCTTGGACATTCTCCCGCCTAAAAGTACTCCTCAAATAGTCAAATGTGGGTTGTAATCGAATCAATGCTTTTTCGGTCAGAAATTCAAGGGATTGGATTTTGTTGTTGTAACCACTATTGTATCCACTTTTGTACCCACCATGTCTTCGTAGACATATTTTTGTCTATGACCGGGATTTGCAGACAAAAAGAAACTCATCACAGACATGATGAGTACAAAAATGGGTACAATAGTGAATACAAACGTATTTTTAGGGATTTGAGTCCGGTCTTCAATGTTAAAGTTTGGTTTGATTGTTTGGATGGGATGCATCTGATGGTGTGTAGACAAATCATTATCTTTTAATATCTACTCCTTACGCCTTAGCCACGTGAGACTGGGAGAGTCTAAAAGAACAACTGTTTTTTATTTGTGGACAGCTATCATTATATATTCACAAATTCAAATCTTTAACTCTATAAATAGTAGCAAAGGCAAAGACGACAACACACCCCAAACTATCCAACCTACCTTCAAACTCATCATTTATCATTCTTGCTTTTCTACTCGGTATTTCATGTCTTCTTGAGTTCTTGAATATGTATGAAATTATGAACAACAAATTATTCAAATGATCTTATATACCACGTTTAAGACACAACACAGACAACACATACATTTGTCATTATGTGCTTAGAAAATGAGAGATTGCTATCTCTAAAAAAAGGATATCTCATATATTCGGCTCCTGTGCAAAAGAAAATACAGGTGTCTCTTCCGTTGAAGTCTAAAAGAAAGAAATACAACTGCCTCTTTGTTACATGTTTTTCTACACAAACATTTATTATGGTGAAAACAGTATAAATAAATAAATAAATAAATAAATAAATAAATAAATAAATAAATAAATAAATAAATAAATAAATAAATAAATAAATAAATAAATAAATAAATAAATAAATAAATAAATAAATAAATAAATAAATAAATAAATAAAAACCCAGAAATAATATTACATAATACCCTTTGATTTGCGCATAACTATTTTGACGGTATATTCGTCGTAGAGGTTAAACATCAGATCACTTCTGGAGAGGCCGAGAGGATAGTGGGAGAAACAACCAGGGTAATGGACTGGATGGTAAAAGTCTAAAAGAGAAGAAAGTTTATTGAATTAAAGTCAAAAACATTATTATTGGATCCAAAAACAAAAGCTAAACAATTGGGTGTGTTTTTGTGTCCGTATTATGGAAGAAAAGGTGGGACGGAGTAGAGATCAGAGAGGGAAGGGAGAGGGGTGAGATTCATCCGTGGGATAAAAAAGTTACTATTTCGTACACATTATAGTGACTGAAGATAGAAAACTTGAAGATGAATGAATTGAATGAAACCGAGCATTCTAGTTCACTAGCTGCGAGGTTACAATGTCCTAGCTAAGATCTCGGGTTCAAAACCCGCTAGGCACGTTTAGGGGAGATGGATTATGGGAGCGTATGCCCCGACACGTGGAATATAAAAAAAAAACAAATAAAATGAATTGAATAACTTTTTAATGTGAGAAGTTTTTTTTAATCATAAAGCTATCAAGAGCTTCCCATTTGTAATGTGAAAATAGCACGTCGTAAAAAGTAAAAACCATTCAGGAATCAACTGTCTATAAGCTCAAAGCAGCAACTAGTTTCACTCCTGTGTTGAGAGAAATACAAAAATAAAATAAAACAAATTTGATGTTTCCCAAAAAAGCAGAACTCTGAAATGAGTTGCATCACTCGAATGGGATGAACCTTTGATGAGTGAGTGACATCAATACCGGGCCTACCGTGCTTGACAAGGCTTGTATGAGATGGAGAACTCAGCCAAGTAATGCCCCACCGTGAGAAAGTTTATTGATAAATTTTCGCTCAGCATAAAGCCCATTTAGTAGCACGAAAATCAACTGATTTGGTTGGTTCTGTTGAAATTTATGAAGTTCTGGATAGACTGGCTGTATTGACTGATTCTGCTAATTTAAGAAAAAATTATTTTTAAAATATATTTTATTCAAGTTATACTTCGTAGTATTTTAATTTGGGTTTACCAGGTCCTAAAAAACAAGATTATATTTATAACTCAATTTACTCTCCTATCATACTCCCCAACTAGTTAGTGGGCATCATAGGGTGCATATATTATTTATCACAAACTATGACTAATGAAATTTATTTTAATTTTCCATCTCTCCCAAAGTGAAATAGCATATTACGAAATTTTCCTTTTTGTACTAAAAAATGTAGTGATTAAAACTTTATCAATCATTTTTGGTGTTATCAATCTCTTCATGATAAAAATCTTGGTCGTAAATGACACGGGAGTAATTTGATACTGCAAGCTGCAGGATGCATAAACTAAAAGAGCAATAAACAATGAATAGAAAATATTCCAAAAACACATTAATCTAAAGGCTGAAAGTTTTCAAAGTTAACAAAAACAGACTCGTTTGCAAAGTCGTCATCAATAGTTTCCATCCAAAATGGTAGAAGGACTACTTAATACTCATCAGCCTCGTACGAACCGGGTGAAGAATCATAACTGGGTTCTGGACTCCGGTACCTTCCATTTCTTATATGGATCTTCAGCCTGCCATTCAGAAATAACATCTTCTCAAAGTCACGCAGGAAAATATGATAATTTGTTTCATGTGAATGATTGATGAAAGTCCCATGTACATTGTACGATGTTGAGACACACCAAGTTTAACATGAAATATTGACATCCAAATATTCAATACTCCAATAAACAAAAACGTTGTGATGAAATGGGAACACACTCACAATAGGAAAGGTCAAATAAAAAGGATTAATCAGTATAAAACTAACTTTTTATCTGTCAACCATAACTTCAAAACTCCCAGCAGACGACTACTCTTCAGTCTTCACAAGTCCAAGAAAATGCATACTAATCACAAGTATTTGTTTGATGGGGGGGGGGGCTTTGACATTTAGACAATGAGCATACGATCAGTATCAGATGAGCATACGTAACTTTAAAAATGTTCATCGATATGAAAAGTGTAACGTTTGTTAGTTTGACATAATGACATTTTCATTGATCATCAAACATTATCTATTTAGATGAAAATCACAGTTTCTGTTAAATGAGCATTAATGAACTTTTAATGTGGATCAGACCTATTATGATCATTAAAAACTTTCAATGAGCACCACACTTATTCGGTTGAGTATTAGGAACCTAACAATGTGAATCTAATGTCATATGCAACTTTTAAAATCTGCATGAATATGACATTTTAAAAATAAGCATAATATGAGTACAAATTGAACAAACAAATGAGTATTAACATGAAAATCATAAGTTTTTTAGTTGAACTTCAAGACATTTTCACTGAACATCTAACATCCTCTATCGAGTATTAAAAACATGCATTTGAGTATCATGATCTGTGCTCATATATCTATAATCAACTCCAACATGAATTTAAAAAATAAACTGAAACATTTAATAATATTTTATATTATACATTTTCATAATAATTGAATATAACATTAAAGTAGAAGGTTGCTAAAAAAGGAGAACAAACAAAAAAATGAGAATAAACAAAAGAAAAGAAAAGAAAAGAAAGGAGAAGAAGTAACGTGCGAGCACTGCAGCAGCGGATGAAAAAAGGAAGCAGCCTATTACAAATAAATCGGGTGTACATGCACACCCAGGTGTAGGATATAATTGTCCCCTTATTCATGGGACGTTCGCGCCTTCGTGACATATATATACAACTTTGCCTTCCTAAAGCCTAACTAGTAACTCCTAAGACCATTGGGAGTGGTATGGAGTCCAAAATGTCAAAAATGGACTCCGACATTCCGTCGTCCATACGAAAACAATGTGACTTTTATTTCCTGCATTCCAGCACTGTCAATAAAATGAACTCTGCGACTTTTTTACATATCAATTTAGTAAAACATTAATTATATTATTATAAGTAATGTTTAATATTTTTTATTAACAAAAATGAACTTAGTTCAAGTAAAGTTTGATTATGGGATATTAAGTTATTTTTGGAAGATCCATGAATTAAAAATTTATGTTTCGTGTTATTTTGAGCTCAAGAAAATTCTAACAGATATGTTTTTTCACATTTGAACTTTTATCAAGAATGTTTCCCTTAAAAATAAAGGCTTATAACATATTTTCAACTCATTTAATAACATTCTTAGAAAGTGGCATAGCTTGCAGGATATATGTATATATATAAAGGATGAAGATGAGCACATGTGTGCTTAAAATGAGCACCCATATAACTTTTTAATAAAAGCAATTGCAAATTGATTTCCTACCCTGGCTACACATTCAAACCAGTTGTGAATTGGGAAAAGAACAAAGAAATCCAATACCTAGCTAAACTTGTTCCAAATTGCATTTTTCTTAAAGACTGTCATTCATATTCAAGTAATCTTTACCAGTGATTCTTAAGATATACGTAGTACTTCACATACACTATCCCATATAAATGGTGTTCATTTAATACATGGTTATATAATATTCTTTCATATTTTCTTCATTTCTACTCAAATATAGTGTAATTCAATGGTTATGAATTAGGCATTAAAGATACTATCATATTCCCTCTGCTGCTAGAGTTCTTCAGGGTAAGCTAGATTTTACATCCCTGGGATAACAAAGATGGAGAAAACTAAATTCTAAAAACTTAGGCATATAGCCTCCCTACATATACATGGGTATTTCTAGTGTGAACAATGTATACACTTTTTCAAACACTCATACCTAATTCGAATTGAAATCAATACAATCATTTTAGATGAACATAATTGTAAAATGGGAGAATTATTGTGGGGCTGGTACAAGAAAGGGTAGAGAGACTAAGCAAATAGAACACACAAACATGATAGAGACCTGGACATATGGGCTTATGATTGAGATATAATAGAAGTATTTTAATAAAATGTAATAGTGGGCTGGCCCATTAGAAATAGAATAAATAAGTGAGAGTGGTGAGGAGATGGGTAGGCAGAAATTGGGATAGACTTGGGAGAGGGGACTGCTCTAAGTGTCTAGTTGGGAGAGGGGACTGCTCGAAGTGTCTCAGTCTGTATTTCCTTTCCGTTTTTGCATGTTTCCTTCTTAATAGACGTCATTCTACTGTTACGATTTTTGAGTATCTATCAAAACATAAAAAACAGAAGAAGAAAAAAAGTAGCAGAATTGAGGGGTGCGAAGCTAAGAGGGAGTGAGGCTACTTAAATTGCTATGGCGATTAGAATTGCGGAAGCAATGAAAATTACTATGGCTACTAACACATTTTTCTACTTAAAATGCCATAACCTTGAATCACTATTGCTGGTATAATATTGTCATGTAAGATAAACTATTCTCTAAATAACACTCTTCATAGGTATGTACGTTGTACACTTCATAAATTGCGATTTCAAAATGACATGGGAGTAATTGTTACTGCAAGCTGTAGCATGCATGAACTAAAAGAGCAATAAATAATTAATACAAAATATTGCTTTTCCAAAAACACTTCAATTTAAATGCTGAAAGTTTTCAAAGTTAACAAAAACAGACTCATTTGCAAAGTCATTGATAGGTTCCATCTAAAATAAGCATGGTACGTAGACGGACTGGACTACTCAATACTCATCAGCCTCGTATGAACCGAGTGAAGAATCATAACTAGGTTCTGGACTCCGGTAACTTCCCTTTCTTATATGGATCTTCAGCCTGCTATTCAGAAATAACATCTTCTCAAAGTCACATAGGAAAATATAAACATCATTCATTGCATGTAAATGATTGGTGAAAGTCCCATGTACATTGTACAATGTTGAGATCCACCAGATTTAACATGAAATATTGACATCCAATACTCCAATAAACAAAAATGTTGTCATGAAAGGGGAACACACTCACAATAGGCAGGCAAACTCAAATAAAAAATGAGTAATTAGTGTAAAACTAACTTTTTATCTGTCAACCATACCTTCCCAAGTCCCAACAGACGACTACTCTTCAATCTTTACAGATCCAAGAAAATGCATACCAATCACAAGTATTTGTTTGGTAAGGGGGTTCTGGGGGGAGGGAAGGGCGGAAGGGTAGGGTCATATTTACTCCATCAGATTATTCTTATTTTAGAAAGTGATAAGAACTTAAACACTAAAAACTACATAGTACTAATAGAGGTAATTTAGCATTACAAACGTAAATCCTCCCCTAGTCCCCCCATAATCATCAAACCAAACCTGCCCTAAGGGAGTGATTGGTTCAAACATAGTGGAGGTGAGAGGGTCCAAGAACCTAAATCCCAAGTTGTGTGAAATGAATACATTTCATGTCCAAGCAAAAACAATTTTAAGAAAGAAATGAAAACTTGTCCTCTGCAAATAGATTGCTAGCTATTAAACAAAGACTCTCCTCAATAATTGCCAGAAAATTGACTAGTACGTAGTATAGTATATCGTTTCAAATTTCCAAGTTAGTAACATACCATTATAAGTCTATAGTGCAATTTAAAGTTTTTCATATCATTGAAACATTTAGGTATAAAATAAAATCAGCGAAAACATAAGTTTATCAACTTCAAAAGCCATCATATAAACGAAGACTAACGAGTAATAGTTTTGACCTTGTAATAGTTCTCTGTTTGGTCTGTTTTCTCTTCCTCTTCACACCTGTTGAAGTTGAGATGGGTTTACTGTTACTGCCACGGTCGTCGAGGCGGTAGAGGCTTCCAGGACAAACTTGAGAAGAAAAGCCTGAGAGGCCATCAACTTTGACCTGCTTCACTGAATTGCTTTCAATATCAACCCAAAAAAAACCATATTCACGCTGCAGGATAACCTGCTTTTTGTTCTTCATATAAGCAACAAGTTTGGGTGAGTCAAAAGAGTAAAGGCGAAATGAGAGCAATTTCGTCCAAGGGTTTTCTACTCTGTATTCTTGCAATTCCCATCCATCAAAATGACACCCCGAACTTGTGAAGTAACTGTAACTCAAAATTAATAACCCACTGATAGCATCCAAATACATATCAATTATCTCTTTGGAGGGTAATGGGGGGAGAGGGATATGGCTGTATTCTTCAGTAACAAGATCCAGAGTGATAATCATTCGACATACATACCAATGCAATTTTCCATTCACAGAAACTCCATTAACATGATTAGGGATACTGAAAAAATCATAAGGACAATCCTTAATTCTCTTCCAAGAACCCAACTTCAAGCTGTAAATGAGAGTTCTGCAAAGATATTTTTCACCACGATAAATTGTGTCTAACCTAACAACTTTGTAGTCATCAGAAACATGATCATACCCTATACCCGCAGCGGCAAAGGAAAAAGTAGAACAATCGGGTAGGGGCAACTGATGGCAGTCTCTAGTTAAGGGGTTCCAAACCGCCCAAATCTTGTCAAGGTCATAAGAAGATATAAGAATCAAACCATTGCAGGAGTTCACCGGAAGACTGCGTATGCGAGGCACGTCAAGACGAACCAATTGCTTCACCGGAATTACTTCAACCATATTGCCTTCATCATTCAAGTCATCCTTGAATTCTAGTGAGTCAAAGTTTATGAGATAAAACGGTGGTGAACCAGAGCCTTTTTTGATAAGAAGAGTGCTTGAGGAGATTTGATTTTGTGTGTGGGCTTTGACGAAAGATGGGTCATCAATGAGACGGCACCAATCCTTGCAAACACTTCTGAAGCGGAAAAGGGAATCGGCTGGCAGGAAAAGAAGTATTTGGCGGTAGAGTTGAGAGGGGATGTCAGACATTTTCGCAGCAATTAAGAGTCCAGAATGGAAGATGAGTTTTAAAAGAGAAAGTCGAAGCCTTTCGCAAACAGAGAGGATACTGAACCGCCAATTCTATGATATTGGGAGGGGATCTTCCCGCCAAAGCTTCCAATGAGAAGTGGGCGGTGAGTGTTGGACGTTGCCATTGCTGCTATAGTAGTCTGGTAGAGTGAAAATATTATATTGATGGGAAAAGATTATATATGTATTAAGTAAATACATTTAATTTAAAAAAAAAAAAAGAAATTGATCAATTTGATAATTTATTCAGTTTTTGACTTGTACTAGCATGTTTTTAAAATTAAAGAAATCTAAAAGAAGTTAAAATTTGAAGAAATATAAATAAAATTTTGAAAAAAATAGAATGTCCAAGTCAATATTTTTAAGAGATTTCCACATTTTATTTTTTTTCTATCTTTACATTTTTACTTTATTTTTCAATTTTCTATTTTTACGTTTTCACTTTACTTTTTAATTTTCTGATTTTTATTTTTTATATTAACATTTCTAATTAATTTATCTATTTTTACATTTATGCTAATTTTTATATTATTGTTACATTATGTTTTCAAAATTATATGATTTTTTTTAAAGTTATATCAATATTCATGATTAGTGACAATACGGGTGGTAACAGGTTAGGTCAAATCAGGCTTTTGCCTAAACAGGCGGGGCCTATTTTAGAATTTACAAGTCTGAGTTTGGCCTGACCTGAAGCCTATTTAGCGGGTCTGTTAAGAAAAAAACACGTTAGTGATTGAAACCTATTTGGAAACCTATTTTGCAGACAAAACTAAGTGCTTTGTGGGGTGAAGCTCCAATTAAGTGGTAGGTGGTGAGCCTAGAACATTTGCAATTTAGGAGTGACGTGTGAGTGCTTGACTAAGGATATAGTTGTTCAGATTTGTTAAAAAATTGGTGTGCATAGACATATTGGGGGGCGCGGGGCACATAAGTTAAACAAGTCAAGTCAAACCTTAACCAGATCAAGCCATATGTCTTGATACGCCGTCTCGTCTGACTTATTCCCACCCCTAAGTGACAGAGAGACAGGAGCAACACAACAACCTCATGTAAGAACTTCTTCTCAAAGAAATATGCCTACTCCATATCGTGCTCAAGTTGATTTTTGAGCTCAATAGTCAATAGCTTACATGTCCATGACTCCACGGGCAATTGGCAAACATTAGCATAGGAGAATATAGTTCATGAATCAAAATAGTCCAAATGGAAAATAAGAATGAGAATAGAAAAAGGTGATACTCTAGAAATCACAAGTCGACTATATGGAAGAAGAATGACTAAAAAATCTAACAAATAGAAAAAACAAAGGATACCAAGGCATTTATTTAAAAAGTAGGTTTGTTTGAAGAGAAGAAATTTTATTGTCCAGTTGAACCGTGAAGACAAAACAATGAAGGTTTGCGTACAGAGAGAGCCATGAAGAGCGCAAAAGGATACCAAGGCATAAATGGTAAATTCCAATAGCTCAAATGTAAACCATACTCTCCACCAAACGTTCATTTGTCATCTTCTTCAGAGCAATTTTGGTGTTTTGACCAATTGAATCAGCTATTTCTAATCAAAGAAACTAAATATTGGCAGATGACATTTTCCAAACAATGCCCAAGTCTGACGTTCTATCAATAAGATTATATTTATAGCTCAATTTACTCTCCCAAGTCCTAACATACTCTTCAATCTTCAAGTAGTTAGTGGACATGAGGAGGCATATTATATTTATCACAAACCATGACTAATGACATTTATTTTAATTTTGCATCTCATCAAAGGCTAAATAGCATGTTACGAAATTTTTCTTTTTGTACTAAAAAATGTTGTGATTAAAAATTTCAATCGTTTTTGTTGTTATCTGTCTCCACATGATAAAAAGTTTGGTCGTAAATCAAAATAGGTATGTTTGTTATACACTTCATAAATTGCAATTTCCAAATGACACAGGACTAATTGATATTGCAATTTCCAAATCATGCATGAACTAAAACTAAAAGAGCAATAAACAATGAATAGAAAACATTCTAAAAACGCATCAATTTAAAGGCTGAAACTTTTCAAAGTTAACAAAATCAAACTCATTTGCAAAGGCATGCATAATGCATAGGTTCCATCCAAAATAAGCATGGTAGAAAGACTGTGCTCAATACTCATCAGCCTCCTCGTACGAACCGAGGGAAGAATCATAACTGGGTTCTGGACTCCGGTAACTTTCATTTCTTATATGGATCTTCAATCTGCCATTCCGAAATAACATCTTCTCAAAGTCACATGGGAAAATATAAACATCATTTATTTCATGTGAATGATTGGTGAAAGTCATTGATAGGTTCCATCTAAAATAGGCATGGTAGATGGACTGGGCTACTCAATACTCATCAGCCTCCTCGTACGAACCGAGGGAAGAATCAGCCTCGTAAAAAACTAGTGAAGAATGATAACTACGTTCTGGACTCCAGTAACAACTTTCATTTCTTATAAGGATCTTCAATCTGCCATTCAGAAAAAACATCTTCTCAAAGTCACATAGGAAAATGTAAACATCATTTATTTCATTCTAATTATTGGTGAAAGTCCCATGTACATTGCACAATGTTGAGACCCACCAGATTTAACATGAAATATTGACATCCAATACTCCCATAAACATAAATGTTGTCATGAAAGGGGAACACACTCACAATAGACGAACTCAAATAAAAAATGACTAATTAGTGTAAAACTAACTTTTTATCTTTCAACCATAACTTCCCAAGTCCCAACAGACGACTACTCTTCAGTGTTTACAGATCCAACAAAATGCATACCAATAAAAGTATTTGTTTGGTAGGGGGCTCTGGAGGGAGGGAAGGGCAGGGCCATATATACTCCCATCAGATTATTCTTATTTTAGAAAGAGGTAAGAACTTAAAGACTGAAAACTGTTTAGTACTAATAGAGATTATCTAGCATAACAAACGTAAATCCTTCCCTCCATAATCATCAAATCAAACCTTTCCTAAGGAAATGATTGGTTCAACCAGAGTAGAGGTGAGAGGGTCCAAGAACCTAATTCTTAAGTCGTCTGAAATGAATAATTTCATGTCCCAGCAAACGCAATTTTAATAAATGAAAACGTGTCCTATGCAACATAACATTATTTATGAGTCAAATAAAGTATAAGGTTAACAATTACTAAACAAAGATTCTCCTCAATAATTGGCAGAAAATTCAACAATACTCCGTATAATGTTTCCAATTTCCAAGTTAGCAACATAACATAATGAATCTATAATGCAATTTAAAGATTTTCCTATCATTGAACCATTTAGGTGTAAACAAACACAGAAAACATAAGTTTTCAGCTTCACAAGCATCATAAAAATGAAGACTAACGAGTGATAGTTCTGACCTTGTAATAGTCCTCTTTTTTATTTGTTTTCTCTTCCTCTTCACACCTCCTGTTGATGTTGAGACGGGTTTACTGGTATTGCCACGATCATCGAGGCGGTAGAGGCTTCCAGGACAGACTTGAGATGAAATGACTATGAGGCCATCAAATGCGACCTGCTTCACTAAATTGCTCTCAATATCAACCCAAAAAAAACCATCGTCACGCTGCAGAATAACCTTTTTTTTGTTCTTCATGTAAGCTACAAGTTTAGGTGACTCAAAAAAGGGAAGGTGAAACGAGAGCAATTTCTCCCAAGGGTTTTCTGCCGCGTATTCTTGCAACACCCATCCATCAAAGTGACACCCCGAGCTTGTGAGGTAACTGTAACTCAAAATTAATAACCCACTAATAGCATCCAAATACATATCAATTATCTCTTTGGAGGAGGATACATGAGGAATAGGGATGTGGTTGTATTCTTCAGTAACAAGATCTAAAGTGATAATCATTTCACATGCATACCAATGCAATTTCCCATTCACACAAACCCCATTAACACGATTAAGACCAAAAACATTACCAGGACAATCCTTAATTCTCTTCCAATAACCCAATTTTAAACTGTAAAGAAGAGTTCTACAAACATATTTTCCGCCACAGGAAATTGTGTCTAGCCTAACAACTTTGTAGTCATCAGAAACATGATCGTACCCAAGACCTGCAGCCGCAAAAGAAAAAGTAGAGCAATCGGGCACGGGCAACTGATGGCAGTCTCGAGTTAACGGGTTCCAAATCGCCCAAATCTTGTTACGGTCATAAGTAGAAATAAGAATTAAACCATTGCAGGAGTTCACAGGAAGACCCCGTATGCGAGGCACGTCAAGACGAACCAATTGCTTCACTGGAATTACTTCAATCATCTGGCCGTCATCGTTCAAGTCATCCGTGAATTCTAGCGAGTCAAGGTTTATCAGATAAAACGGTGAACCAGAGTCTTTTTTTATGAGAAGAGTGCTTGAGGAGATTTGATTTTGTGTGTGGACTTTGATGAAAGATGGGTCATCAATGAGGCGGCACCATTCCTTGCACACACTTCTGAAGCGGAAAAGGGAATCGGCGGGCAGTTGAAGGAGTATTTGGCGGTAGATTTCAGATGGGATG